TTTACTAAATTAAAAAACTAAAATTAATATTACTATTATTATTATTATTATTATTATTATTATTATTATTATTATTATTATTATTATTATTATTATTATTATTATTATTACTGTTGTGTATTCTCCATCTCTTTGAACTCGTTATTTTTTTTTTCCTAATCTTTGCTATGGAATATTAAAGAAATACAGGTTGTTAAAACATAAGACTTCTATCAATACAGGGTGTGTACAAACTTATACTTGTAGACAAAGAGGTTATTTTCACAATTAAAACGAGCATCAAATCACAATTATTGATACCAAAAAAATCTCAAATAGTAAGATTCAAATATCCTTTCTTACAAACATGTGAGGAAGTAGAAATCCTAAATATCTCTTTCTCATTTCATTGAAATAAATTAAAGCAATAGCAGTGAATAAATCAATGCAAAAGGCTCCTACCAATACAGATTTCACAAGGATCGAAGCAACATATTACAGAACGTTGATACCAACCAAGATCCTAGATAGTCACATTTATATATCCACTCTTGCTTACATTTGAGCAAGCAGAAAGCCTAAGCATATTCTTCTCATATCATTTAAATCATTGAAGGCAAACCGCAGTTGCTGTACTCATGTTCGGTGGACTGGAATCTGTCAATGGTGGTCCTAAAACATTTCTTCCACCTGCAAACATGATGTATATCCCAACAAAAAGAAAAAGTTCACGTGAAAGAAATGTTACACACTCAAACCTCCAATGCACCATCATATTCGCCGACTTCAGTGGCACATACTGAACTATTATTATCTATCAGAAAGATTGGTATGCAAACACTTGTAAGGTCTGTGTGAGCCAGCCTTTCTTTTCTTTTTAGCTGCTTTTTTTCTCCAAACCAGACCATATCCATCTTATCTGCTGCACCAGTCCACATATCATTTTTTTTCTTTTATCCCTTTTTCAAAAAATCTCATGGAGGATTTTTTTTTCATAAAAGAAGATATTGCCCTCCTAGCCTCCACGCTCACCATTGCCCATCACACTCGCTTTCCCTCCCCTCTTCCTCTACCGTTATCATCATCCTCGCTCACACACCCTTGAGAGTTGCATGCTTGCCCATAGCCCCCTTTGCCAAGTTGATGATGGAATAGTGAGGCTAGGACAATAAACAACTTTCATTGTCTTCGCCAACAATCCTCTATGCAAGGTCATTGGCAGAGATTTAAGTAGACGGTGATGACGGGTCTCTCAACAAGACAGATAAGGACGACAGGGGTGAGAGTAGTAGGGAAGAAACAATGACTGATGGAGTAAAGGCAATGACTGATGGAGTAAAGACGATGACCGACGAGACAGATGCAAGGGGGACAATGTCATATTTTAGAAAAAAAAAAATGCTCTATGAGAATTTTTAAAAAATATTAATCAAATATTTCTCAAAATAATTTCTGGAAGATTATCATATATATATGTTAATTTATCTCATATATATATATATATATATATAACTCGAATGAAAGTAGAAAAAATTTTGTTGACCCAGTATGACTCAAAATAATAATTATTGAAGTTCTATTGTCTTCAGAGTTCTAACGATGAATGAGAGCACGTGATCCAGAATAAGCATCCGGATGCGTCAAGAACACCACATTGTCTCCATCGATTACTGGCCACGACTTGTTCTAATCATTCTCAGTTCATACTTCTCCGTTCATGTATACTCGTACATGTTAGTTGTGCTCCAGATTTGACACCGGCAACACGGTACGTGAGAAGTCCCACTTATTCGCCCACTAGATAAAATTAGCAACTCGCAAAGTCTTTGTCAAACATACAGCATCTCTTGAAAAGAAGCTGCTAAGAATGATTACTATGTTCCCGAGACGCATCTTTTTCATGCTCTCCAATTGCCTTCGGTGATGCGAGTTCTTTGAGAAGTCGATGTAAGAATCATTTCACGAATCCTCAGGAGAAAACATATCAGAGCTCCCTGTGATGACTTTGATAGCAGTCTTTGGTCTGCAGAAAGAAAAAGAATGGCGAACACAAATCTACTTCTTGGCATGTCCTTTAGGACCTTTACGTTTTCAGCCAACACAAGATCAAATCATCGCTACCTCGTCAGATTTCAGATGGCTCTCAAATTCTTGCAAACACTCTTCTTGTCTAGGTGATGCCTATTTCCATTGCATCTGAGGCATCTTATCATCACAATATCAGATTCACATGACGAAAACGGTCTCACACGATCAACGATTCAAAGTAGAGATTAGAGATATTAATTAGCTTTGGCGATTTGCATAAAGTGTAAATTAACATCTGATGCAATGGCCAAAAATAGAAGATATGGATATTCGTTTCTGGACTGTAGTTGATGCGATGCTCTAATGGATTTTGATTCTTTCAGATAAAAAGCAGAGAGAGAGAGAGAGGGGTGGGGTAGTTGGCATTTTTCTGACGGGTCAGCCGTCTTGAATCCAAAGTAACATTCTGACATCATTCTGTAAAACTCAGACATGCCACTCCAGAACGATGAAGCAAGACAAAATGACCATGGCCACATCCAACCACATGTTATTGAGCCACCACATAATGCCCAGGCCTTATCCCCATCAGCCATCAATGCGCGAAGCCAGAGATCTGCCAGGACCACTACCGTGCTCCTCCCTCCTCCATTATTTGCGAGGCCTGCGTGAGTTGCCTCCGCTTCACTCCTGCTTTTGATAGATGGCCGGCAGAGTGGAGGATCTCCACTGAGGGGCACTCGATCGGTCGAGCACTCGGTTGAGTCTCAGAGCTCCATGGAGAGCGGCCATGAGAGGAAGAGGCGGCACGACGAGGAGCGCTCCGAGTCTTTCAACCTCCGCAACCTCTCCAAGCTCGTGCTTCCGCCGCTGGGCGTCTCGACCTACAACCAGAACCAGAACGACTCCCGCGGCAAGGTCATCCTGCCCATGGACTCCAGATACAGGTGTGAGCCCTCCCGACTAAGAACGGCAAGTAGGCCATGAACTAAGATGAGTTGTTCCAGGTGCTGGGAGACGTTCATGGTGGTCCTGGTTGCGTACTCCGCGTGGGTGTACCCGTTCGAGATCGCGTTCATGGGCGCCGCCCCCAAGGGCGGGCTGTTCATCGCCGACAACGTCATCGACGCCTTCTTCGCAGTCGACATCGTCCTCACCTTCTTCGTCGCGTACATTGACTCCAGAACGCAGGTCCTCGTTCGCGATCCACGGAAGATCGCCGTCAGGTGAGACTATACACTGCAACTTAAACCACTAGGATGTCTGCATTTCTCAGTGCCACAGAAAGATACGTGGCTTCCGTGCCACCGTGAGTAGGAGAAGAGGAAAAGGGAGAGCAGGGTTTCGTAGCGTTTATTCTCACGGTGAAAGCTTGGGCGGGTGGGCTTCTCTGGAGCCTATTTACTGTAACAATCACCGTGAGTAGGAGAAGAGGGAAGGAAAGTGAAGAGTAGAGTTTCGTAGCGTTTATTCTGACAATGAAAGCTTGGGTGGGTGGGCTTCTCTGGAGAATTCATTTGGACCGTGGACCGTCAGCATCACAAATGGTGCTCTCCGATTGCTCGGACTTCAATGATTGGGACTCAGTGGGTATCACATGAATTATTTTGGGAGAAAACGTGAGACTTGGTAGAGGCATACCGCTCCGTTCCACGGGGTGCGTGGATGAGCCTCCTCCGAGTTGCTAGAGAAGCCAATAAATACCCTGTCGCTGCGGTTGTGCAGTCTCTGTCCATATTCCCTGTCTTAATTCGTCGTCGGAGGAGGATCGATATAAGCGATCTTATCCTCGCAAGCACAAAGACTGCTTTCGGGTCTCTAACCTGATCGTTTAGACTATTTCCCATTGTACGGTATGTGAACGTAGTCCCTGTATAAGGTCTCATCAGATCTTTCAGATGACTCGATCACAAGACTGGTGCACATAAAGAGTCAACCTGTCACTATCGTGAAGAGTGCCAAGGTAATAGTTGTGAAGCTTCTAGTGTATACAAGTAGAGATGTCATTGAGATCGACTCTCCCATGTCATTGACCTGGAAAACCCCACCACCTCTGCTCCTGCAACCAAATTTATGTTTCTCCTATGAATAATTGAGCATTCGGAATAAGCATAACACTTCAACATAAGCTTAATCTTTCAAGTATCTTAGCAGCCTCGTTGGAAACAAAGAAATTGTTGACTTTGGGTGGGACCTGACCTTAACTCATTTGATGGTGGTGAATGAATGTAATTTTGGAACCGCACATATGCTGCACCTAAATCATAGAGGTGAAACACCAGCTAATAATTTACTATGAACTGTTTCCTCGGTCATGAATCATAATCATCCTCATCATCGTCAAGTTGAACTTGACAACAGATACGCTGTAGCTACAAAGATTAGACAATGATTGTTTACTGGTGCAACTTCATCAACCTCACTTTAATACAGAATAATCGTGGGATCTCCATGGATTATGTAATACCCTAGATAAGCATCTTAGGTGAGTGGTTTATGTTTTATAAGTTACTCGATCAACATCATGATAAATGATATCCAAATCAATCTAGTATTAGATAAAATGAAGAACCTAAGTAGATTTCCAGTGCAAACACAAATCTAGAGTTAGCATGAAATACAATATTATCATAAAACAGACCTATAGTCTTAAGTAAAATTGTACAAGCACCAATTGACCCCTCCTAAAGCAGGTCATATGCTCCGAGTTTTATGATCGTACAACAAAAGGAGCTACACACTGACTGCACTGATCAAATGAAAAAGAAACAACATCTCAAGCCACGTGAATTATTGTGCAAAAGATGGTATCAAGAATATGAAATTATCAGCAACAGTAATTTAGTGCCCAGAGGTTTTATTGCAATCACATAGCAGCTATTCACTGCATGGCCTTCTGCAGGTACTTGTCAACGTGGTTCATCATGGACCTGGCATCAACGCTTCCCTTCGAGGGTTTGGGCTACTTGATCACAGGTAGAGTCAAGTCCGGTGTCTCTTACAGCTTGCTGGGCATGCTAAGACTGTGGCGTCTCAGGAAGGTCAAGCAATTCTTTACAAGGTGATGACAATTGCACAAACTAAATTGGATCGTGGAGGAAATACAGGAAAGTTTACGAGTCTTTAATTTTCTTATTGGGCCACTGCAGACTCGAAAAAGATATCAGATTCAGCTATTTCTGGATTCGATGCGCCAGACTCCTATGTGTAAGTACATATCTTACTCAGTTGTCTTGTATAAAATGGTTTATTATCTCCTGAAGCAGATGAAGCAAGCTTAATTTGCTGAACAATATTTTATCACTGTACAAAGGCAAGATGCTCTAATAGCTGGCAAGCAAGTTCCAATTCCTCCCCCTGATCATAAAGCAATCAAAAGCATGATTATATGTAGTCTTAGCATGCACGTCCAATATATAAACAAGAAAGTTGAAATGAAAGCTCACGACATGGCCGATGCAGGTTACCGTTTTCCTAGTGCACTGCGCTGGATGTCTCTACTATTTGCTAGCTGACCGGTACCCACATCAGGGGAAGACATGGATCGGTGCTGTGATGCCAAACTTCAGGGAAGCTAGCCTGTGGATGCGTTACATTGCTTCCATCTACTGGTCCATAACCACAATGACCACAGTTGGTTATGGTGACCTTCATGCTGTGAACACGAGAGAAATGATCTTTAATATATTCTACATGCTTTGTAACCTAGGCCTCACTGCATACTTGATCGGGAATATGACCAACTTGGTTGTCGAAGGAACACGACGCACAATGGAATTCGTGAGTGCAATTATTCTCATCTGTAGTACAGTTGCACCCACACACGCGAGGGAAAAAAAAGAGAGCTTGGATGTGATTCATTTCTCACAATGATGTTATCATGTAGTCAGTCATACGATCACTTCTGACTTGAAGGAATGTATTGCAGAGGAACAGCATAGAGGTTGCATCTAACTTCGTCTGCAGAAACCACCTGCCGGCACGTCTGAGAGAGCAGATATTGGCTTATATGTGTCTCAGATTTAGAGCAGAGACCTTGAACCAACAACATCTGATGGATCAGTTGCCAAAATCGATATGCAAAAGCATCTGCCAGCACCTCTTTCTACCTACTGTCAAGGAGGTTTATCTCTTTAAAGGTGTCTCCAGGGAAACACTCCTACTCCTGGTAAGGATGCCATTCCCTCCCTGGTCCAAGTTCGGCCAACACCGTAGCAAAATGTATGTCTCATATGGTTTGAATTTTCTGGTTCAGGTAACGACGATGAAAGCCGAGTACATCCCACCCAGAGAGGACGTCATCATGCAAAATGAGGCCCCGGAAGATGTATATATTGTCGTATCAGGCGAAGTAGAAATTGTGTATTCTGATACTGAGACAGAACAGGTCGTAGGGGCGCTCAGCGCAGGAGACATGTTTGGAGAGATCAGTGCGCTCAGCGACAGGCCTCAAAGCTTTACATTCCGCACCAGAACCTTGTCTCAGCTGTTGAGGTTAAAGCAGAGCACCCTGAAAGAAGTGCTGCAAACCAAACAAGAGGATGGTATAGCTATCATCAAGAACTTTCTTAAGGTAAGGTGCAAAAATATTCACACTCATAAGCTGTGGAATGACTACAGATTAGATGTCTAAGATGATTGTCGCGTCAGATATACAGTGTTACGTAATTAGCAATCTTACAGTAATTCTCGATCGATATGGAATAACAAGAATATTTCATAATCTTAAAGCATCAAATAGAATTCAAGGACATCAGCATAGAGGATCTGATAGGGGAGAATGGAGAATGTGATGAAGTTAGTATACCATGCAATCTACTGACGGTAGCTGCTACCGGAAATAGTTGTTTCCTTGAGAAGCTCCTCAAAGCAGGAATGGATCCTGACATCGCTGACTCCAGAGGAAGAACTCCATTGGTAAGTTTTGCATGTCTTTCCAAATATGTTCCACTTGCATATGAATCTCATATTTGCTTCTTTCTTACATTTCACATTATGACAAGCACATGCGATGCCTGGAAAATAAAATAAGAAAAACATGTTTGACAGAAGAGACTGTTTTAAGTATATAAAATTGAAGGCATCCATATAACCATTGATTCTCCAATGCATCTAAATGTACTTGCCTAACAAGGTGACAAAAGGACTTCATCTTCATTATATCTATTAGCATAATGATGCACAAAAACTGATGTACACTGCACCTATTAGCATAATGACAAAAACTGCTGTGCTAGCACCAAGGAATGAACAAGGTCTCTTGAATCTGATGTACATTATATTATGTTATATATATATATATATATATATATATATATATAGAGAGAGAGAGAGAGAGAGAGAGAGAGAGAGAGAGAGAG